TGAGCCCTGGAGAGGAGGCCACAGGGGTTGCGGGGTGTGGGGTTAGGGTTGGGGTTGTTGTCGGGGTTGTGGGCAGGAAATTCCACAGGATCATGGCTGACATTTCATCATGACTACACCCTTCTTTTCAAAGCCCACTTGTAGACCGAATGAAGTTGAGAATGGGAGAACAGCAAATAAACACACACACTCACGCGTACACACTCACGTACGCACACACACTCACTCACGTATGCACACACACTCACGCACACACACTCATGCACATGCACACACACTCATGCTCATGCACATGCACACACACACATGCTCATGCACATGCACACACACACACACGTACACATGCACACACGCGCACACTCACTCACTCACGTACACGCTCACTCACTCATGCACTCACTCACTCACGCAGACACTCACACACTCACGCAGACACACACACACACGCGCGCAAATAGCAGTTTAAATCCATTGCTGTTCTACCCCTGTGGCTCTGGGCTGTAATCAGAGTCTGACAAACGACTTGTGAAAGAGAGTGATGAACCCTCATTGTGCAGACACTCTTTAGTTAATCTGAAACCAGATTTCGAGGTAATTTCACATACACTAAAAAGATTGATGGTGTGGCCTGCCTTGACAGCTTGCAAATGTTTGGGAGGATTGAAAATGGCATTGAGACTTGATTAAGGACGGTGCAGGGCTTCAAAGAAGTTTCTCTATTCAGTATATCTATCATTTTAATTTGCAAACTGCCTTTACAACAACTTACAGATGTTTGACCCCTGACAGAGTAGTTACCACTGCAGCCAAATAGGAATCACTGTAGGGAAAACAAGCTTGTGATTCTCACCACATCTTTTGAAATGCAGTCAGGATAATGTATACCCACTCCTGAGCATATTTCTCCTTCAAGCATTGAGTTCCAGCGTACAGTGAACTCCCAGTCCCACCTATTGAGATATATAATGTCTGCAAGGCTGGCACACCGATAACATTTGCTCACAAATTAATTCAGCGTTCTGTGACTGTCAGGATACAGATGCATTTTGAACCATCTGCCGTTGTCTTTCAGCAAATCTTTTTTGTTAAAAAACAAACAAAGGTTCTTCAAAATGTAACCAGCTGTAACAAGATGAATGTTCCTTTCCAGGTCATGATTTTTCTATTGAAAATATTTCTTTGTAATGCAGAGTTGGAGTGCCAGTGCTCTAATTTAACAGATATTGCACTTATTCAGAGTATATTCATTGGCAAAACCACTCTACAGTATCGAGCCCACTACAAACCCACAGAAAATGTGTGCTTTGGATTCAAACCAGCATGGAAGAGTACCTGGATTTCACATTCAGTGGAATTTGGAGCCATGAAGCATAAACGTGGACACAGGACATACTTGCAGCATCCACCTCATCAACATGCAGTTCCTGGTTGGAGGGCAGGAATTCTTTTTGGATGCAGCAAATATCTGGTTTTGCTTTGTGCATTTCTTTTCTTCTTAACTTGGATATTTAGCTCTGTCTCCTTCAAAAGTACAAGAGAAGACAAACCTGGCCACATTCCCTATATTTCAGATTGAACTAACAAGAGTGTTCATGCACCATTTGCTCCTAGTCAGGCTAACGGAAAGTATTCAGAAGTCAAAATGAAGATGCCTTACAATCAAAAAACTCACCGGCTCCCAAGGAATATGAATCAGATTGTAAGCAGTCCCGCAGCCCACACCTCAGTGTTTTAACATGGAGCAACGTGCACTGACGTCATTTTGTCTTGTTTGGTATTTTGGCCGTATTTTGTCTCTTTTTACCATTATAGTTTTACAATGCATACAGATATCAAACAGGTGTGAGGTCATTCTCAAGGTTGTTTTTTACTTTAACAGACATGGAGAAACAGCAACAAATCTTTACCTTGAGGTTAACACATGCACTTTCCAGGAGGGTCACTGCATAGCAACGAGGTGTGGAAATTTCCATCCACACCCAGTTACTTTGTTTGCCATGGCATAAATTTTAGAAGAATTGATTTGGCTCTCAGCTGAAACAAAGCATCCTACTTACTTGACATTAAACTTTACTTTCCTTCCTTTTCTCTGCCTCACCACTGAGATTACAGGTTGCAAGGCTGGCTGGGATCTGGTACAGCAGACAGGAAGCGTTTAGTTGTGATGCTCTGGTGTGGGATAGACTTAACAGACCAGCTGGTCCTTTCTTACCCATCCTTTCATTTGCTTGTACTTTGTACCACAACTTGTAACGTGCACTGTTATACAGTCACTTAGCAGATAACATATATATTCAGTTATCCATGAAGAGATTGCAGCATTCTCTGAGATAAACGTCCAAGCGGACATGACCAACAGCTGGCCCATTACATCCAAGTGGATGGATTGGCCCTGGATGAAACTAAGTGAGCAACTTGGGGGGACTATTTGATAAGAATGTGGCTTTCCTTTCCCATTGAAACTGCTGTAGTCAGTATGCAGAGGAACTATTTTGTGTCATCTAGAAATATCACAAATGATTCCAGCTCTACAATAGGGGAGATTGATTTAGTAGGATTACAGGGGAGGTGATGGCTTAGTGGTATTATCGCGGGACTGTTAATCCAGAGACCCAGATAACATTCTGGGGACCTGGGTTTGAATCCCACCATGGCAGATGGTGGAATTTGCATTCAAAAAAAATCTGCAATTAAGAGTCTAACGATGACCGTGAATCCATTGTCAGTTGTTGGAAAAACCCATCTGGTTCACTAATGTCCTTTAGGGAAGGAAATTGCCATCCTTACCTGGTCTGGTCTACATGTGACTCCAGACCCACAGCAATGTGGTTGACTCTGAACTGCCCTCTGGGCAACTAGGGATGGGCAATAAATGCTGCCTAGCCAGCGATGCCCTCATCCTGTAAATGAATAAAGAAAAATTAACTAGGAAATCACGTGGCTTTGAAACCCAAGGAGGAATTTGATCCTCTTGCTCGTTTAATGTCTACCTATTAGTTTTCAGTTGGAGAAGTCATTTTTCAACTCTCGGGCCTGCTTGCATTGGACAGGCAGAGCCCTGACTGATGCGTAGCCACTACCTCATTGGCTATGAGCTTTGTTGTCAAACAGGTGAGAGTATAGCTCCGGTGCATCTTCCTGTCGGTGGCATTTTATCTGACTGAGAGTGATGGAACTTGCACAAGAAGGTCTCATCTCAACTCGCTGACTTCTGCGTGCTACTCACGCCAAGGAGAAAATAATAAGTATTGAGGTTTGTGGTGACAAGATTTTGGTGATATTTTGAAAGCAAATTCATTGAGCTTGTTTTAATGGATGACATTCCATTTGTGATATTTGCATAGACCATAGCAGTGGCTAGTCTGGGGACAAAACAAAAATCTGTTGTGAAACACTATGGAGCATCCTAAGGACAGGGCAAATCCTGATCATTATCTGTCTGCCAAACCTGTACTGTGTTTCAGTGCATGGATCATGCGAGAATTGTTTCTCTACATAATTTCTCTATTTTAAGTTAATTTACTAATTCTAGCAGAAGGACTAAGAGATACAGCTCCATTCTGTTTCACCTGTGGTGTGCTCCTTCAGTCTCAGCACTTCTAATCTCCCATCCTCTGCTAATAGCAGCATGATGATTAAACATTACACTTTATAAGCTGCCCTCACGAACTGCAATACTAATCCTGAGTCGTGTCACGAGGTGCCTACGGTTGACTTAGAACCAGTTTGATTACAAATGTCACTTGGAACACCAATTGGAGATATTCGCAAAAGCCCTGTGATTTTATCTCTTTCCTGATCCATGAGCAAAGTCCCAGTTGTAACTTCAATTACAGCTGATAATGCCTTAGCAATAGGCTTCCTTTAACACTCTGCAATGAATAGCACCACATTAAAAAGTTATTTACCTCCCATATTGACTTTTGAGACCAGGCACAGTTATAATATGCAGTGACACTCTGGGATCTGAACACAATATGAGTTTTCATAGTTCCTGTGAGATCTCAAACCCCAAGTTTGTAAAATTTCAAACATACAACAGCTGTCGTCATATTGAATGGCAGAGCAGGCTCGAAAGTACATATTTTTTATGTATGTATTCATTTTTGCATTTTCTTATTTTGTTTGGCTGGTTTTTGCACTTTGATATATCTTGATGTACACAGATTGATCTTTTCGAACTGGGGGAAGACAAAGGCCCATCTTTGGGTGCCAGCTCTGCTAATTTTTCAAACAACAATTTTCAGAACAGTTAAAGCTTGAACAAGACATTTCCTTTTCTAAATAGATTTTTGTTAGCTATTCAATTTGATGTTGTACAATATGCTAAGAGGGTTAGCTTTTAAGGTTACTGAAGCTTTCAATAACTTTTCACCATTAGCTAAGTAAATGCCAGGGGGCAAATATTCTTTAACTGCTCTGGCTGTTAAATATTCAGCTGGTGGGAGCCAATGAGTGAAATTGAGTGGGGAGTAAAACACCAAGTGCTCCATTTTCCATCTATTAGTTTAATTGGATGGAAAATTGGGCAGGCTTCATTATAAGCATGTGATCCCTGCCATGCATTTATTCCCCTTGACTCTGCCTAGGCAATACTTAATGCCCAAGTGTAAAAAGAGAATACCTCCCATCACCCCACCCTACCGCATGGTCCACTCCAGGAATTTTGCTCCACAATATGACCTTCTGCCCTCTCTTCATCCAGCTGCTGGCTGCAAATTCAATTGTGTTGCTTTCTGGCCACTTTGTTAAAGGTGGCGCAGGAAATAACTGATCTGCGTATACCTCTTAGAACCGCATTGTATCAGTTTTTTAAAAAAAATATTGTAATGTATCTTTTGTCGACAAGATAAAGGGTTAAATGTGTATTAGCACAGTTCACATGGGTATTCACGTCAGGGAAGGATGCACCAAGTGAGTTATAGCCACCCAGCAATGGCATTTTTACTAAAGTGAGTTTAATTAGATGGGAAGACTAACACGAGGTAGATAGACTCATAGTGGCGTGACTTAACTCGGTGTCTTGTTCAGTGAGGATGCTGTGAGGAAACTGGAACCTGCTTAGGGTACAGTTGCTGCAGTCATGCTCAGTCATTCAAGGGTTTCATACATCTTGTAGCTGGTAACTTTGGCAGGAATCGTTGACAGACTTTTACACAATTAAATCAGCTTGATGAAAGCAGAATGGATAGATTTTGGCACATGTCACGACGCTTACGCTTTGTAGGTTTGGGCTTAATTAGAGAGTTCTAGCTGATTTCGGTTTTTTTGTATTTGGCAGGGATTTTTTTAAAAAACATCAATGCTGTCAGAATAAATTCAACATCAAATACCTGCCACTATGCAACGGTGGAGATATGATATAGTTTTTGCATTGTTCTATATATATATATTAGTCTTAATTGTTATTACTTATTGGTCTGGAAATTTATCTGTCCTTTTTCATGTGTTGTTCCAGCAACAGGGAGCGGCCACCACCGTTTACTGTAGCATTGCCCCGGAGCTGGAAGGATTGGGAGGGATGTATTTCAACAACTGCTGTCGGTGCTTGACGTCACAGCAAGCTCAGGATGAAGAATCAGCCTGTGCGTTGTGGGAACTGAGTGAGAAGGTGATCCAAGAGCGAGCTGGCAGTCAACCTGCCTAAACATGCAGCTCCCCGGGTTTGTGAAGACGGAAGCAAGGAACCTTGCACCAGAAAACTGCCGTCTTTAAATATTCTCTCTCTCCCTCCCTGCCTAGTTCTTTGCCAATGTTACCAGTGTGCGAGATTGAGCACTTCTCAAATAAAGCTTAACCCTTTACGACCTCTGGTGAGTTCTGACTGCTATTTGAGGGATAAGACCAGGTTTCACTCGTTAAGAGAATGCAATTAGTACACTCCGTTAAACAGTCTCATTATCAGTAATCATCACTAATGAATAATTATTTGTAATAGTATGGCAACAGAAACTAACATCCTCTATCTATAATAAGTAGGTGCAAGCTGTTATTTAGACCCTCCTCAAAGGGTTACTGATCACAAAGGAGGCAATCCCTTAATCTTGGACTACTGAGATTATGTTGCAAGAATTTTTTTTAACGTTCCATTTTAACATACCTTATTTTTAAAAAAAAAGTTTTTCTGCTTTATTGCTCTATGTGAGTCGTTCACTTGGCTGTAGAACCTCTCCCCATCACTTCACAACTCCTTCCCAACTGGAAGGATTGAACGGTATTGGTCATTTAGATATCCGCCTGTACTTTCTGTACTCAAAAGGGCCAGTTGGAGACCCAGTAACAGTGGGGTGAACAGGATTTCACTCTTTTTTTGTCCTCTGATTCCAAATATCCCTATCCTGCCATAAAACTGGGGTATCGGAATGTTACTGTTGGTCCAGATAATGGCACATCTAGAACTGAAGGTAGAAAAACAATTCCTTCTGAGCAGTTGTAGATGTAAATGAGTAATGGGGAGGCCTTGAAATTGGAACCTGCAATCCTTTCCACTTGAAACTCTTTCATCTCCTGCCCATTTAACCAGACATTTTATGAAATGAATCAACCACTTCTGCCTGGTCTGAGTTTCAAATCCACCAGGTCAGGTGCCCCCATTAAACTTCCCACATTGTGACACAAGCAAAATATTGTTGCGCAGGATATCTGAATTAAAAGCATAAAATGCTGGCAACACTCAGCATGATTGGCCAAGTCTGTACAGAAAGTTAATAGTTAATGCATCACGATAATTACTTTCCATCAGAACTATTACCGTCCTGCATTCATTCTTTTGAACACTTCCAGCATTTTCTGTTTTTAGCCTCCAGTCTGACCATGAATAAATTCACGCAATGTGCCTTGATCTCCATGAACAAGACTTAAAGAAGCCACGTAGTTGGGGGTTCAACAATGTTAATCCTAAAATGCAGTCCTTTACAGCTGGAGGAAAATGGATAGATTTTAAAACATGAAGCTACCAGATGGTGATGAGTTTTGATGTGCCAGTATGTCCTTTTTTTTTCTCTGAGAGGGGTTCCTAATGCCCAGAGCAAATAACTAAGCAGGCTAAATCCTGCAGCGAACTCACTGTTGCCAACAGAGTGTAGATTTTCACCAATCTTCCTTTAGTTGGGATTAAAATAACACTTAAAAAAAACAAATCCTTTTAAAGTCTGCAGTCATCTCCGATGTAATACACTAGTAATGTAAAGTCTGGCAGGCTGGATGGACCAGGTTTTGTATATCTCAGCCTGTTCGGAATCCAACTGACCAAAAGAGTGGTCTCAGAAATCTCCCTTTGTGTGACTACCCGTAATCTAACGTCATATTATAATGACTGTGAGAATCGGAAGCACTGTTGAGTTATGTGCATATATCAGAGAAGCCTAACTATGTACACAGGGTGCCATCAGCGACTAGTGGGATTGAGAATCAGGAAGGGTCAGTAATGGCCTCAGCAAAAGTCTTCGTTTGCAGATTTAAGACTGTTTCGCCGACGTACACACAGTTTTAAAAAAGTTTTTTTCTTTGCTCAGTTTATTTTGAAAGTAATGCCAGCATCTTGTCATTTTTGTGGGTTTTTTTTTCTGTTAAATACTTCCACTGTCTTTTTATTCAAACATCATGCGTACGTATTTTATATATATGTATAGAAATGTATATATGTGTGTCGGTGTGTGAGAGAGACCTGAACGAGCAGTCGTCTTCATTTGTTCATTGCTCTCCTCTGCTTTATATATAAAAAAAACCAAAGGAGGAAGAAGAGGAAGAAACTATAAACTAGCCACAGGAGTCTTGAGAACGCTTGCTGTGATGGTTGGCTTTCTCATAGCGTCATCTTTTATGTTCTCTCTGAGGTTTTGTGCTTTATGGCGGACGCTAAAGCCGCAGGGAAAGTTTCGATCTAAGCAATCAGCATTCCGGCATCATGTTTTCTGCAGAGAAAGGAACGATGAAAGGTGAAAACATAGATCAACACTGTCCTAGGAGAGGACCCTTTTCAAAGGCACTTCATATTCACAACAACAAGTGACTCCATTCATATAACACCCTGTGTGCAGTCAATAGTCCCGAGGTCTTTCACGAGAACCATCAATTTTTGACACCGATTCACCGTAGGGAAATATTAGTACACGTTTCGATCAAATAGCTAGGCTTGAAAGAACACAGTGTAAGAGCAAATTACTGCAGATGCTGGAATCTGAACTGAAAAAAAATAAAATGCTGGAGATCACAGCGGGTCAGCCAGCATCCATGGAGAGATAGCAAGCTAACGTCTCCAGTCTAGATGACTCTTCGTCGGAGCTGAAGAGAGAGATTTTGCTCTCTCTCCGTGGATGCTGTATGACCCGCTGTGATCTCCAGCATTTTTTTTTTGGTGTTTAAGGGTTGAAAGAACATCATCTTAAATGGGGGAAAGGCGTGGACGACAATTTGGGAAGAGCAAGAGGTCACAGCAGGAGGAATGCACAGAGACAGGAAAGGCAAGGCGACAAGAAGGATTTGGGATCAAAGACAAGCATTTTAATTTTGAGGGGCGATAACTAGGGTTGATCAAGTGGCTGAAGGGTTTCAATGCAGGTGTCCAAAACTTGAAAGGAGTCCGTGATGCAAATACACTTTGAACTGTGCTATGAATCATAATTTGCCATCAGACACATGTTATTTGGAAGATTAATTCAAGTGATATCATGGGCCTCCAGGCAACAACAGTGAGATTATAGTAAAATTGACCAATGTTAAATTTAAAGTGAGAGTTGCAATCGCAGTTCCTCTATACAAACACACCAAAATATTCACAAATAACTATGATTAAAAATCAATTAAAAAGAACTCTGTTGATTTCCTGTTTTGCTTTTTTTTTGCCTTGTCTTAATTAGTAAGTGATTACAACATCGTGGGGGAGGGGAAAAGCCAAATTAACAATAGACTTGATAAGTAAACCTAGTGCCTCAGCAAAGTTTAAATTGCATTCAGAGGTTTTAATTCATCTCAATTTACCCAACAAACCAATGATAACTGACTTGGACCGTCAGTAATATTTTACAAGTCTGTTTCTAGAAATGGTGTGATTGGAAAGGAATTATGTTAGCATTTCTCATGAATCCTTACTGGTAGCACCAAATTGTTCTATCAAGTGTGTGTATTTGTGTGAATAGTCTACCCTCACTTCCCCAGGCCCAAAAAAAAACTATAAATATGTCTTTTCTTCTGGATCCCAATGTTTGACTGTTTGGAGTTGATGAAGGCATCTGCAACAGATTAAATGTCAGATGTGAACAAATCCCACTGTCTGTTGGAGACTATTAGTGAGGTTTCAGCTGCCATTGCAGTGTCTCTTTACTGAAGATAAATAAAATGTCAGAGCTGAGATGAGGGAGATTTACCCACACTTTGCACTACTGGAGAAAGCAGCTCTTAACTCACTCAGTGGGTGTTTCCCTGCCATTACTTGCAGTGGCCGTGCCAAATCAATGAACTGTGGAGATGCTTTTTTAACCCACTGATTGTCAACATGCACTTCTACAGTTTGAGGAGAGGCTTGTGCCTGGGTCCTGATCGAACCACATCACGCTGTGATTGCTCGGTAAATGCACAGAACACACTTTTCCCTTTCAGAATAGAAATCCACAGTTCAGAAATCGCAATAATCCTCAAAATAGCATTGCAGCCTGATCACCAAAACTCCGAAAGCAATAACTATGAGGAGCTCCCTCTGGCAAGAATGTGACAAATGCTTTTAGTGTGAATGTTTGAAATCTTTCATTAAAATAATAGATTGTGACTGTAATGTATCAGTGACATTACCGCACAGGTGACTCACTTGATCCTGGGTGTGTATGGGTCGTTTCCTCCTAGAACCTCATCCAATACAGTTCACAATCCAGACACTTGGAGCCGAACAAGAGAGCCTGGAGACAACTAACTTGGTACTCAACTGGGAGCCAAAAAAGTGGCAAGCTCAACTCAGTGGCCAAGGAACCAGATGGGTGACTGTGGAGGCTCACAGCAATGGCTACCCATTTTCCAATGCCACCCAATCCACATACCATGTGTTGGAGAAAGGGCACAAAGCTCATGACGAGGGTTTCCTGGAAAGTGGGCTAAGAAGTGGCAGATGGAATAAAATTGGTGAAGTCTGAGGTTATGCACTTTGGTAGGAAGGATGGAGGTGTAGACCATTTTCTAAATAAGGAAAGGCTTTGGAAATCTGAAGCACAAAGGAACTTAGGAGTCCGAGTTCAGGATTCTCTTTAGGTTAGCATGCAGGTTCTGTTGCCAGTTAGGAAGACAAGTGCAATGTTAGCACTTGTTTCAAGAAGGCTAGAATACAATAGCAGAGATATACTGTTGAGGCTGTGCAAGGCTCTGGTCAGATTGCATTTGGAATATTGTGCACTGCTTTGCGTCCTGTATCTAAGGAAAGATATGCTGGCCTTAAGAGTCGGGGGATAAAGGAGGATTACAAGAATGATCCTGGGACTGAAGGACTTGTCATATGAGGAGTAGATGAGGATTCTGGATCTGTACTCGATAGAGTTTAGAAGGATGAGGAGGGATTGCATTGAAACTTACAGAATAACGATAGGCATTGATAGGACGTGGAGAAGATGTTTTCACTAGTAGAGGAGACTAGGATCCGAGGGCACAGCCTCAGAAGAAGGGACAGCCCTTTATGACTGAGATGAGGAGCAATTTCTTCAGCCAGAGGGTGGTTAATCTGTGGAACTCATCATCACAGAAGGCTGTGGAGGTTAAATCATCAAGTGTATTTAAGACAGAGGTAGATAGGTTCTTGATTAGTAAGAGAGTCAAGGGTTACAGGGAAAAGGCAGGAGAAGGGGTTGAGAAACATATCAGCCATGATCATATAGCGGAGCAGACTTGATGGGCCAAATGGCATAATTCTGCTCCTATATCTTATGGTCTTCCTGCTTCTGATCTCACCAACCTGTAATGTCCAAGCCATTAAAATGAACAGGGCAAAAAAGACAGTGGTAGGAGAAAAGGGAAACTGAAAATCCTGATGACTGTGTTAAGTTTTTGGGTGGGGTGGGTGGCAAGCAAAATGAAATAAAGGACAGGCCATTCAAATTCATCAGGCCATGCCAGCATTTGTGTTCCATGATGAGCCTTCTCTCATGTTTCGTAGTCAACACATACTCTTTTTCCTTTCTCTCCTATCTACTTGCTGAGGTTCCCCTTAAATGCATCTTTGTCATTTGCCTCATACAATATCAGAAATAAATAAAAACAGTGGAACTTATGAAAGAATGTGGCTTTACAGACTAGATAAAGTAGTAAAACCAAGATTTTCCTCAATCCTGCAGTTACTTCGTTTGGATACTCAAATTAGAAATGTTTTTTAAAAAGTCAGGCTGTTTCAGGATGACATTCATTGTGAAGAATAATTTTATTAAATTCCAGCCAAAAAGGCTGTATCAGCTACAAACATGGAGACAGGGAAATGTGTTCTCTTAGAGCAGAACAGTTGTAAAGCTGTCGGGATGTTATGGATGCCCAAGTGATAGAGAATGCTGCTACTATTTGCTGAATATTGAAGGAGAATAGCTAATGGTGTGCAACATGTAAACCTGTTGTGACTATCATCCATCTGTCAGTGAAGAGTGACTGGTGGAAGAGCCCTAGTAAAACAAATTTTTAGCAGGTTTAAATCTCACCAACATCTATTGCAACCACTAACTGTGGTCAGATGGAAAGCATTTCAACAGCAAAAATAACACAAAGAGGACAACACAGGCATTAAGCCTGTAATGCAACTAATGGCAATTCACTCTTCAAACAGATTACTTGTTATTTCCAGGCCTTTGATGAGTTAGCAGATTTGGACCAGAATAGCAAGGTCGGCTGTTACACTGTGCTTTCATATCCAGCAGCCACTTTCATACATGTTCCTAGCAGTGAGTGTTGGGCAATTTTGGCCTATTCTTCAGGACTGGCTTTTACAACCTGTGGCCTGGTGTGTTTTTGGAGGGACAGCACTGAAATATGACAACTCATTGCCTTCCTGCCTGACCCTGACATAGCAGACAGACAGGTGCCGAAATCAGAATCCTTCCTGTCAATTTTAAAAATGCCCAGCGATTTTGTTAACAAAAAAATTGACCCCAATATCATGCCACCCTAAGACATAACATGCTTGGCATGACCAGGTGGGCAAGACTGGTAAGGACTAATTGAAAGGCTGGAAGGAATGGGGTGTGTACCTGTTTTGGTGGTGGAATGCCATGAGTGCATGGGGGATGGTGTGGAGAGGGGGGCATGTTGTTAACACCTTTGTCACTTGCCACCTGACAACCAAAACCTGTCCACCTGCATTCCCCCACCCCAAATCCTTCCTGGTCAGATACCCCAAACTTACTTCCCTCTTGGGGCCATGTTTCTTTCATCCTGAGGCATCCTGGCAGTTCCGGCAATGCCTGCTACTCAGTTCTAACACTGTTTGAATTGCTTGAAGAGAGAGCTCTTGAGGATGGAGTCATCTTCCATTGAGGCACAACTGTCCCACCATCACCTCCTGAAGGCCACCAGGAATGCTGTGGCACTAGACCCGTCTAACATTGATCAATTTAGGCATTCGAGAGGGCTTTGGATTTTTGTTTTGTATGGTAATGATGTGCAGAGATATGGGGAGAAGGCAGGACATTGGCACTGGACAACATAGCTGGTGCAGGCATGATCAGCTAAATGGCCTCATTCTACACCATAATAATTCTGTCATCAGTTTGGGAATGAAAATCCTAGTTTATATACCCCTCCTCAGCTAAGGGGGAGTTGAGACAAGTTGTGGTACCCTGACTGTATCTTCACAGCATGATTCCCAATCAGACTGGCAATAATTAGATAATTTCTCCTATCAGTACAGTTCATAGACACTCTTCTGAAAAAGACCCTAAGTAGACTTTGTTTTGCTACACAATGTACCGATTTTTCATAGAAAGATAGACAATAGGTGCAGGAGTAGGCCATTCAGCCCTTCAAGCCAGCACCACCATTCAATATGATCATGGTTGATCATGCAATTTCAGTATCCCACTCCTGCTTTCTGCAAGGGCCACGTCCAGCTCCCTCTTGAATATATCTAATGAATTGGCCCCAACAGCATCCTGTGGTAGACAAATCCACAGATTCACAACTCTCTGAGTGAAGAAATTTATCCTCATCTCAGTCCTGAATGGTTCACCCCATATTCTTAGACTGTGATCCCTAGTTCTAGACATCCCCAACATTAGGAACATTCTTCCCATATATAACCTGTCCAGTCCTATCAGAATTTTGTATATTTCTATGAGATCCACTCTCATTCTTCAAAATTCTAGTGAGTACAAGCACAGTCAATCCAGTCTTTCTTCATATGTCAGTCCTGCCATCCTGGGAATCAGTCTGGTAAACATCCACTGAACTCTCTCAATAGCAGGAATGTCCTTCTTCAGACTCGGAGGCCAAAACTGCACACAATACTCAAGGTGTGGCCTCACCAAGGCCCTGCACAACTGTAGCAAGACATCCCTACTCCTATACTCAAATCATCTCACTATGAGGGCAAGCATGTTATTAGCTTTCCTCACTGCCTGCTGCACCTGCATCCCAATCTTCAGCAACTGTTCCACCATGCCACCCAGGTCTTGTTGCATCTCACCTTTTCCTGAACTGCCACCATTCAGATAATCATCTGCCTTCCTGTTTTTGCCACCAAAATGGATAACCTCACATTTACCCACATTATATTGCATTTGCCAAGTATTTGCTCCTCAGCTGCCTGTTCAGGTCACCCTGCAACCTCTTAGCATCCTCCTCAAAGCACACACTGCCACCCAGCTTAGTGCCAATGCAAATTTGGAGATATTGCATTCAATTCCTTCGACCAGAATTCATGAGTTCTGCTGGGCAAATGTTTGCCCTGCCCAACTTGTTGACTGATACAGTAATGTCAATAAGATTCTATATGAAAAGCACGGTTATTGGGGCAAGCATTAAGGAGCCTATGGAACTATGGAACCTTCGGGAAAAAGTCAAGAGACTTGAACAAAAACTGCACGTGCATGTCAGCATCATTTCCTGCATTTACGATCCGTCCCTAACTGCCCTTGAGAAGATACTGAATTGCTGCAGCCGATAAGGGGTAGAAACACGCAGTTCTGTTTGGAAGCAAATTCCAGGGCACCATATGCCTATTAAGTCTATTATTTGGTTAACCGAGGTATTCTGTATCCCACAATTGAATTCCAACTTTGTAATCACTCAACTAGCTTTTAGTATTTTTGATAAAATGCCAATAAATGGAAATCCAGTGCTAACAGTCAAAAGTGAAATGACACTGATTGGAGCCAATGAGAGGCTAATATATTGTACAAAGCCACAGGCGGCTACAGTAAAAGAATTATTTTGCAATTGTGAAACAGAAGTATAGTGCAATAAGAATAGGAATGTGCTGTGATTCTGTTTATCCTGCTTTGCTCTAAATATATCTCAACGTTCTAATGTCAGGGGAATACTAAGAGTGAGATTTATGATTAGCCAAACCTATTTAAATGCTCAAAGTGTTTAATTTTTAAGAGTGATATTCATCAAAGTAGGCTGTATGTTTAAACCCAAATGAGTGTTTGTGGATTATAGGGTTGTAGATTGTAATTGGGTAACATGTCAAAGAGTAACAAGAGATAATAGAGGAAGCCAAACTGAACACCTGCAGTGTGGTTGAAATTGAGCAGAGGAACTCATAGTTGGAGCTATTGAAATGGATACAGAATTGGGGCTCTCTAAATCTGTTGACTGATCAGTCCTACTAATTTGAGTCTTAAGGATACACGACAAAGGCTAGACCACTTAATCATGTGACTAGCATCTGAATATATGAATTTAGAGCACGTATAGGTCATTCAGCTCCTCAGGTCTACTCCATCGTTATGCTGAAAAAGCTTTATGGAAGCTTTTCAGCTTTCTCTCATCAAAATAGTTACAAGAAAACCAAAGGACAACTCAAAATTTATACTGCATGATTTTGAGAGTGCTGGTTGGTTAGCAAGTGGACTCTGACCAGTAGAAGCATTTCTGTGGAGAATGCATGCATTAATGCTGATTGACAATTAACTGCCAGATTTTGTTTAAATTTTAAGCCAGGCAGGTTGACTCTGAATAGTCAACGTATTACCTTGAGAAACAAGCAAAGTGAATGGATGCCATCTACTTCAAAGTCAAAACAGATGCTGTGCACCCACATGAATTTTTTGTCTGCAAGAAACAGGACCTACTGTGTATCAATTTTTGTAGCTCCCAGTACATGCAAGTGCACCATACTGTCAGTCTGACTGACAATCCCAAATTGCTTGTTGGTATTTGCAATATCCAGCAAATGTCCAAATACAGAATCACATTTAATATTGGGTACTGTGTCAGGATTTTATAAGCACAGATTAGTTGGGTGCAGGCAGTATACTCTATGCAGTACAAATATTGGTTCTCCCCTTAACTTTGGTATTCTTGCAAATGTCCTGATGATGGCTGGATGAAAAACTTTATAGCAATTCTCAAGTTCTGTACCACCAAAGTTCTGTTCAACAGATCATGGCTGTCCTAATTATGTTCCCAACTCCGTATTCCCACCTATTCCCCCATGACCTCTAAGTCCCTTGTAGTCAAGAAGCTATCTACTTTCACTTTAAAAATATTCAATGACTTTCTATGCAAAAGCTTTTTAGCACAAAGAGTAGTTGTCATCTGGAATACTGTACCTGATACTGATGGAAGCAGTTTCAGTTGTGGTTTTCAAAAAGGAATTGAATAAGCACATGAAGAGAAAAAATATGTAGGGTTATAGGGCAAGGACAGAGGGGAGGGACAAGCAGAGATTCTCTTGCAGCAAGATAGCATGGCCATAATGGACCAAATAGCCTCTTTTTGTGCTGTAACTCTTCTTTTAATCAATATTGATATATGTCTGAATGAGTTAAGAAAATGTAAGCAACCCACTGCAAACCATTATAATAGTTCCTATTATAAGTGTAAATGGAGGCCATGGGAAATCTGAGTTGAGTTTAGAGTTTAGGCATCTTTCACATTTGGACAACTTAGCAGTACTGGTGCATCAATTCCAAAGAGAAAACCCTGTGGCAGGAAGAAATAAGCAGTGGACCCACCCTCAGGCCGATAACTTTGCATATGTAATGGAACCACAGCTAAATGCCGAAGCCAATATCTTCAAAAGAGGTGTATAAATTATTTAAAAGTAATGAGACTGCCAAGGGATTTAAGGAATGCTTGAAGTAGGAACTTGTATCCCCTTTACTTGGAAGGGAAAGAAGATTGCTGAGCAAATTTCACTTGGGAAACTCAGATTCTCACCAGGATCACTCCCCTGTGGCCTCCCCCTGAAAATGTACCTGTGGAACTTTGGTCAAAGCAAGGTGAGGATCTAGTATGATAGTCCACATGATCAAATAGTCTGCAGCTGCAGCTGTTTAGGTTTGTACGTGAATAGACCGTAGTATGGTGTGAGTAAAACGCCTTGTCTTCAAACAAGTCAATATTCTTGGTAAGAAAGCTTAAACAGCAGAAGAGAAAGTTCAAGGAGGAAGTGAAAATTTTGACCTTACCTGTAACTGAGCATTTGTTTACCCTCTTTCAGATTGTATTGTCCATTCTTTGCTGCTGCGTTGACATCATTTGCTGTGTTAAGCCTGGTGAAAAAGCAAAAGATAACATTGTACATGAGATACTGCAATTAACCCAACGTCACTCTCTTTTAAGGTTATCATTGCTTCATATATTGTTGATAATTCACAATTATTGGACAGTGCTTCCCAAAGTTTGCTTTTCTTTCTCTTGATGCTTCTCACTTCCCGTGATTCCGGATCGCTGCGAAGAAATGGCAGCCATTTTTGGATTTTCACACAGGACAGACTTTACTTTGCAATGCCACATTTGGATCCAACTTCATCCTAATTTAAAAATATTTCAATAACTGGTACAGAACTGCAAATGGAACCCTGAGTTCACAAAACACTTTGTCTTCTGCCCAAAAATATACAAATCTAATTCACAGCAGGTGGACACCACAGATTAGTAGGCCATGGCTTAACTCAGACTCCACATTGAAATTCTCCCCAGGTGACAACAACTGCTTGCATTTTTAATCTGTCTTTAATATAGTAAAATGCCCCAAGGTACTTCACAAAGAGCCTTACTGAAGAAAACCTGACAAAAAATACCTCACATATGGAAATTGGCTTAAGTTCGGCTGAAAAGATCAGTTTTAAGAAAAGTTTTAAAGGAAAAGGGAGGGGTAAAGAAGTTTAGGAATGGAATTTCAAAGCTTAGGGCACAGGCAGCTGAAAAAGCAGCCGTTGGTACTGGTGGGACTTTGAAGTGCTAAAGGCCAGAAATCAAGGAGTGCTGAAATCTCAGAATTTTGGCGGGTTTATGGTGCCTACAGTGATAGGGAGGACTAAGGCTATAGGGTGATTTGAAAACAGGCGTGAGGATTGTTAATACCAAAGAATCGCAAGGCAAAGAGTGAGTGCAGGTCAGTGCAATATAGGGCACAGTGAATGCCACATGGTGTGAATTAGGATAATGGCAGGACATCAGCTCGAGCTTAGTTGCCACATTCATCCCTAGTGCTGCATCTGTCCAAAGCGAAGGTGACCTGCTGCATTATACACAGATGAGTAGCTTTGGTTTCAAGTTCCCTAGTAATCCGGTGACCCAGGTTAGAATGGATAGTTAGAATCTTTCATCCAGGGTAGAAATATCAATTATTAGGGAATTAGGTTTAAGGTAAACAGGAGTATAAGTTTAAAGGAGATGTGAGAAGACTGTAAGAAGACAGAGGGTGGTGGTTGATGGGAAATGTTCATCCTGGAGTTCAGTTACTAGTGGTGTACCTCAAGGATCTGTTTTGGGGCCACTGCTGTTTGTCATTTTTATAAATGACCTGGATGAGGGCGTAGAAGGATGGGTTAGTAAATTTGCGGATGACACCAAAGTCGGTGGAGTTGTGGATAGTGCGGAAGGATGTTGCAGGTTACAGAGGGACATAGATAAGCTGCAGAGCTGGGCTGAGAGGTGGCAAATGGAGTTTAATGCGGAAAAGTGTGAGGTGATTCACTTTGGAAGGAGTAACAGGAATACAGAGTACTGGGCTAATGGTAAGATTCTTGGTAGTGTGGATGAGCAGAAAGATCTCGGTGTCCATGTGCATAGATCACTGAAAGTTGCCACCCAGGTTGACAGCGTTGTTAAGAAGGCGTACAGTATGTTAGGTTTTATTGGTAGAGGGATTGAGTTTCGGAGCCATGAGGTCATGTTGCAGCTGTACAAACTCTGGTGCGGCCGCACTTGGAGTATTGCGTACAGTTCTGGTCACCGCATTATAGGAAGGATGTGGAAACATTGGAAAGGGTGCAGAGGAGATTTACCAGGATGTTGCCTGGTATGGAGGGAAGGTCTTATGAGGAAAGGCTGAGGGTCTTGAGGCTGTTTTCATTAGAGAGAAGAAGGTTAAGAGGTGACTTGATAGAGACATACAAGATGATCAGAGGATTAGATAGGGTGGACAGTGGGAACCTTTTTCCTCGGATGGTGATGGCTAGCACGAGGGGACATAGCTTTAAATTGAGGGGTGATAGATATAGGACAGATGTCAGAGGTAGGTTCTTTACTCAGAGAGTAGTAAGGGCGTGGAATGCGCTGCCTGCAAAAATAGTAGACTCGCCCACTTTAAGGGCATTTAAATGGTCATTGGATAAACATATGGATGATAATGGAATAGTTTAGTTTAGATGGGCTTCAGATTGGTTTCACAGGTCGGCGCAACATCGAGGGCCGAAGGGCCTGTACTGCGCTGTAATGTTCTATGTTCTATGTTCTATGTTCTATGTGAGAAGCATGTTTTTTACACGAAGGGTGGTAAGTGCCTGGAATGTGCTGTCAGAGGAGTTGGTTGAAGCTCATGCAATAGCAATGTTTAAGAGGCATCTTGACAAATATACGAATAGGCAGAGAATAGAGGGATGCGTAGACACAGCAAGTTTTTAATTCAGAAAGACATCATGCATTGGCGCAGTTTTGGTGGGCCGAAGGGCTTGTTCCTGTGCTATACAGTTCTTTGTTCTGTGTTTTGTTAACTTTCTCACCATATTAGCTGGTGGAATTTAAATTCAATTAATCAATCTGGAATTGTGAAGCCATGACGACCATGAAATTACCACTGCTTGTCATCCAAACCTATCTGATTCACTGATGTCCTTTTGGAAAAGAAATCTGCCATACTTTCCCAACACTGTGACGTCAGACCCCACACAATGTAGTTCACTCTTAATCGCCCAGTGAAGTATAAGCCACTTGTTTCAAACGCAATTAGGGATGGACAACAAATGTTGGCCTTGCCAGAGTCAGCCACATGACACGAAAGAATAAAGAAAACAAATTCTCCCAATTTTGGACTTGATACTTCTTAACTCAACCAGATCACTGAGAGATTAATTTTAGACAATGCTGTTGAATGCTCCAGGGGGCATGAGGGGAAACCTACAGGAGTTTCACTTCAATTCTCAGCTCAGACCAATTCAATTTTCAAAGAATTCAATGCTAAAGACAAACTGTGGGATGTCAGTAAACAACCTCCCAGCCATGCTCTGAGGTGCTGGTCTCAGCATGGAAATCAACACACGAGTGCAATAAGTTGAAAGAAAAATAATTAGTTGTGAACGATAAATTTGGAGTTAGTCCATCTCTTGTTTCAGCATTAAACACCAACTGTTCTGATCTCTGTGACATGTGTGGGTCAAAGTGATTGATTAAGTCAGCAGCGCAGACTTGAAGGTGTGGCAATATTTTGCAAAAGCTGCAAGAACAAGACTGGATTTTTGACTGAGGTTCGCAGCACTGTCGCAGTAACAACTGTCCTGCAGTGATCTGAGCAGGACAGATTGGTCCAGATGGGTCTTCATGAACATAATTGGCCAACATGCAGGATTTGCAGACTGTGTCTCTCACCTCCATTACCGGTCCCTTTGTCGGCCTGATTATAGACCGTCAAATCCCTGGTTTACATAGCAAAAATAATGTCTTGCCTGGCCATTGATGTTACCCCAACATGTTGCCCTTCCATCCTAGCCTGCTAGATCAATTGGTATCATCTTGTCACTACCTGTAGGGTCTTGCTATTTCCAAAACTGAAATACCACAAAGACATGAGCAAAAATAAAAGGTCATGCAGCCCCTCAGTACACTATTCAATATTGCCACTACTGCATCTTTGGTTTCAGCTCCCTTGGGTCCTTCAAAGACCAAAATCTATCTAGCTCAACTTCGAATAGATTCAATGAAGCAGTATCCACAAAATTCTGTGGAGAAAAATTCCAAAGATTCACAACACTTGGATGAAGAAATCTCTCCTCATCCCAATCAGTGATTGATTCCTTAGCTTGAGTCTGTACCCACTTGTTCTAGATTCCCCAGACAGGGGAAACACAGCCTCTCATATCTACCCTGTCAAGCCCTTCTGAATCTAAAACACTCCCAATCCTCAGATTTGTCATTATTCTTTGCAACTTTGTAAGTCTCTTCTTTCAATCCAACACTTCCCTCGAAAGCCACGGATGGGATTTTTATGGTAAGTTTTATGTTTTTCAATCAAATGTATTTCTTTTGAACAGTTTTAATCATTTCTTTAAATATTTCCCGGTGTTCATTTATAGCTGCACCTTGTAGTGACAGAGGCAGCATCTCTGACAATGCAGTGCTCCTTCAGTGCTGCTCTGTAATGCCAGGTTAGTTTATATGCTTAAGTCTCTGAACATGGGAATGTGCTCATGCTGCTTAGCTCTGCAATGAAAAGATTCAAGGCCATTGATCAGGGCTGCTTGTTGAAAAGTAACTTGCGGTTACCTTTGAAATTTCCTCAGGCAAGTGAAAAGTGTTGAAAGGAGCTTTTACAAGTTCAAGAGTTAATCTATGAAGGTAAATTTAAAATTGCTCCCCCAGGGAACATTATAAGACGAAAACCTTGAGACAGTTTCTGCTTTCTCTGATGATGTCTGGCATTTCATTCTTACATTAAACAGCTTTTGATCCACTAAGCCTTACTTCTCGATTTAGTTCATCTACCCTTTGCACTCTTGGTTTTATCAAGCATTGTGAGTCTTGGCACTTTGCCTCAATCTCTCAATTGAAAAGAAAAGCGATCTTTAAATGTTCAGCATTTGGACATTTTTTTAGTTGATAGGTGCAAGTCTTTAAAATAAAGCCTTCCTCTCAGCTGCTCCTGGAGAGATCAGGGCAGGCCACTGATGGGAAGGGAAGCCACTATTTTGGTACCTTAGAGTTTGACTAAAGACCACACTGTGGCCAAGAGTTCCAGGGTGTCTAAGTAGGTTTTCCCACTAGTGGTGATCTCTTCCAGATCATCAAAAGTAGAGGCAAGCTCTATCTTTGGAGAAAGGAGATATTTAGGTAGGTGAGTCTACCCAATAATCAATTACCAATTGGGATAAACGCCCAGGAACAGAACAATTAACCACTTTTTCCTGCAGGAAATGATATGTGGAATTTCAAAGAGACCAACGGAGGAAGATGAGGGAATTCAGAGACATAGCTCAGAAAAAAAGTAAATAACAAATCCTCCTCATTGCAATCTTAAATGGGAGACCCGTTTTTTTAAACTGCCACTATTTCT